TGGAGGCGGTGGACAAGCGGCTGGAGCAGAGCCAGCCCGAGTACAAGGCTCTTTTTAAGGAGATCTTCTCCCGCATCCAGAAAACGAAAGCAGACATCAACGCCACAAAGGTGAAAAACAAGAGCAGCAAATGAGTCCTGCGCCTCTGCAAACCCCCACGTGCAATCGCGACGGCCAAGTCTTCTCTCTCCAGCCCCCAGGAAACGCCACGTGGCCCCACTGCTTTGAAGGTTCAAGAGGTTTACGAGCAAGAAAACGTCACGGAGACTCAACTCACTTTTTTTAAGCTTGAGCTCTGGACATGTCGTTGGGACAATTGTACATTGTAGTTAGAGGATTTCAGAAACTGTACGACGGATCTGCATGAGTTGCTGCCCCTGCCAGGCATGGCAACAGCCACGTAAAACCGCACCACGAAAAAAGGAAACCCACCACCTCCTCCACCCTTTTCAGCCCGTCTTACGGCCCGATCACCCGCAAGCGAAAGCCTGGCTGTCCCCCAGCGTCCTGCCGCCGCTGGGTCAAACGAAAAGCCATCCGCGCTCCAGGGGCTGCTCCAGCACGCCAGCCCAACCCTCCACTTCGGTTTGATGGCCAAGAACCTACGCTTGTACCCGAGAGGCTTCCATCTACACCTTTCCCTTCCCCAAAGGGCACTGTGTTCTTGCTATTTAAGCCATTATCAGTCAGGTTTTTCAGCTATTTACAATGCAAGCTCATTGCAACTGGAAAAACTTGAAGAGAAACATAAAACCGATCGTTCTGTCGTCATCGGCATCACTTAGTATTTCAGTCCCTACTCTCCAGACTTGGTAGGCATATGGGATTTCCTCGCTTTCAATCTGCCCCGGTATTTCAGCCCAGGTGAAGCGCTGTGCCCGGTAGGAACTTGGCGACCAGGGCTTTCCCATACGCTAGACAAGAAGTGCTATGACAGTATCCGAGACATGCTGTCACCTCACGGTCTGGGTACCAGCCCTCTGTGCTGTGCTCTTCCAGAGGCTGCCATTGCCCCGTTGTAGCAAACTCCTCAAATACAGCTTGTATGGACTCGCAAAGCTGGCTGCCCGCGACTCGCGTGCAAGCGGAGGGATAAAAGCATCGCACCAGGTGCCGGGAGCTCTGGCCCTGGCCGTAGCGCGGGTCACGCATCGCTCCACGCTTTTACTCTGGACATCTCCCCAGCTGAGGGGACAGATTTCAGTTTTCTGCTGAAAATAATCCTTCTTGGCTGAGATACTGTCTCCAGAGGTCGTCACCTCTCACATCCCAGTTCACTTTCCAGCACCGAAATCTCACTTTTGCTTCCACGGACATGCGAACACACAGCCAAAAGGCCACTGCAGTCTCAGGAAATCACCAGTTTCCACTTTCCATGAACCAGACGTTGACCTTGTACAGTCAGACGCGCGTTGTAGGCAGAGAAGCAGCATTTCCTTACACCATAGGCAACACCCCGAGCACCGAGCCACCAGAAACGAGCTGTTCAGTGTAAGCTACCTATTCTCTGCTTGCCTGGAGGCAAACGTCAGGCCAGAGCGGGATTCTGTTTTCACCAGCTTACATCCCAAAATCTTGGGGAAATGGTTGGGGTTTTGCAACATGGAGAAAAATAAATGAGTATCTGGCTTTGGAGGGGAAGACTGTTAAAATGTAATTATCCTCCAAGCTACCTTTCTTTCACTTACATGGAATTAATGCAAAACACCCCCCAAAATTCCCTCTTGTGTTAAGCTGAGTACCACGGAGGTAAGTTGGCAGGAGTGCGATGCCCAAACCGTATCCGTCTCCTCCCCAAACCACCCAGCACTGAACGCTCCGCTCCTCCACGCTCTGCATTTTCAGGTGCCCTGTGGCCCCAAGACTCGAGAAACCTTAGGAGCCACGCGCACGACTGTGGCTACCAGCTCTGTAACTGTATGGAGAACCTTCATGCCTTATTTATTTATAATGGAAAGCAGTTGTCTAATAAAATTAAATAAATAAAAAAATAACAGCAGCAGCAACAGAAGCATCGTTGTTCCTTTTCTCGGGGCGTTCACCACCCTATTGCTTCGACTTTTGTAGCAGGGGATGTCTGAAGTCAGGCAACGTTCACGCTTGCAGCCATCGGGTCGCTGCTGAGGTGTGGGAAGAGGAGCCTTCGCTTTCCATTTTCAACAATCCTGTGTGAATCGGCATCACAGTTCAGCACACGCTGGCTTAAATATATTCTCTAATGCTTTATTCTCTTCTCGAATGAAAAGAAACATGGGTTGGAGCGAGTCCAGAGGAG